CACTCTTTTTCCAGCAGCTTTACTCGGTGCAACCCGAGTTCAACTCTTCGCTTGACTGCTGCTTCCATGAGCATTGACTGTGGTTCGACGCAAGACAAAAGCCATGACAACCTCAAGGTTTCCCCCATTTTTCAGGAAGTTACCTACTGGTCTAGTTGTGAGCATTTTGGTCTTTACATAGAGTTGTAATCCATATTGAAGGCTGCAATCCTTGACCCTCATCAGCAAGTGCTTCAAATCCTCATTTTCAGCAATCAAGGTTGTGTCATCCGCCTATTGCGGGTTGTTACTAAGCCTTCCTCCAATGCTGCATTCTTCTTCAGATAAGCCAGCTTCTCTGATGATTGGATCAGCATACAGATGGAATATGTACGGTGAAAGGATACATCCCTGACACACATTTTCCTGATGTTAAGTCATGCAGTCTTCCCTTGTTCTGTTCCCACAACTGCCTCTTGATTCAGGTACAAGTTCTGAGTATGCATAATAAAGTGTTCTGAACTTCCCAGTCTTCGCAAAGCTGTCCATAGTTTGTTATGATCCACACAAATCTTTTGGCATTGTCAACAAAACACAAGGAAACATCTTTCTGGTATTCTCTGCTTTCAGTCAAGATCCAGCTGACAGCAGCAATGATATTCCTTGTTCCAAGTCCTCCTCTAAATCCAGCCTGAACCTCTGGCAGGTCCCCGTCGATGTACCACTGCAACCATTGTTGGCTGCTCTTCAGCAGAATTTTATTTGCATGTGATATGAATGGTATTGTTTTATAATTTGAGCATTTTGCTAGGTCATCTTTCTCTGGAATGGGCACAAATATGGATCTTTTCCAATCAGTTGGTCAAGTAGCTGTCTTTCAAATTTCCTGGCACAGATAAGTGAGTACTTCCAGTACTTCCTCAGCTTGTTGGAATATTTTGATCAGTAGTCCATCAATTCCTGGAGTCTTGTTTTTGGCTAACACTTTCAGTGCAGCTGAAATGGTTGAATGCCAACTAATTCTTTTTAGTACAGTGACTCTGTATTCTCTCCCCTCCCCGCACAAACACACACACAATTAAGGGGACTTATTAGGGAAGTCAATAGGTTACCACAAGTCAGGATGGGCAAACAATAAAGATGTAGTCATTGGTCTCCTCAGCCAGCAGCCAAGTCTCTCTCTGGTCCTCAGCCTCTATACAAGATGTCCTCAAACTACGGCCCACGAGCCACATGCGGCCCGCCAAGGATAGAGAACCTCAGACCAGTCAACCCACTCTCATCTTCTCCTCTAGTTCCTGTAAACCGGGTCCACGGGTGTGTGGCAGTGGCCAGTGTCAACCCATCTCTTTATCGCTGCATTTCTCCCACTTCCACTCAACAAGTGGATCTAGGTAGTCACCTAGCAAGCATTTCAGTCTGCCCACAAGCTCCCTTTAATGTCAGTTCTAGAAAGAAGTTTTCTTCATGGTTCCAGATTTTTTTCAGCTTTGACAAAGACCACTAGTTCAAGATTTCCAAAAAAAACAAATATTTTCTCTTTCTTCAATCTGTCATTCTTGCCCCCAGGCAAGTCTCTTGGAATGCAAATGTCTTGTGTACTCCAAAGCACCGGGTGGGGCTTATTCTTTCAGAGCCTTTGCAGGGGTGTCCTAAACCCATGTAGAGATCAAATTAGTGGCTCGAGGCAAGTGGGCTTACAAACTCTCTATTTTTATACTCCTCAAAATCATTTGTATACATCCTTATATCCACAATAATAAACAGAAGAAATCAGTATGAACAAAGTAGAGTCAGATACTAAACTCAATTCTTCACACAGTCAAATTCAATCCTTATTTAACTTATCTTAATCCTTATCTAAACTATTCTATTAATACAAAAACATGGGATTAGGTCTCTGAGAAAATAGAGCCAGATCCAGGCTTTCTGTCAGCCTTTTTGACCTCTGTCAGCCATTTTCCTTAACCAGCATGGTTTCTGAGACATTCAAATGGCAGTTTCTACCTCTGAGGTCAAAATATACATTAGCAACATTCACTTTTATCATTTCACACAGGAATAAGCAAAGACTACAACCAAACAAAATAATCAAAACTTTTACTTCCCATATTCTTTCCAGAAAACCACCCAGGAAACTGCATGGCAATACCTAACCTCTGGCTAGCTTCTCCACAGTTTCTTCCACATATATAGTCAATGTGCTTTCTATGAATCCCATCTGAAGGAGACCATGTATGCAGTTGCCTTTTGTATTGTTGAAAAATGGTATTTGCGGGGAAAAAAAGTGGTTGGTCTTGCAAAATTCTATTAAGCAATCTCTGGCTTCATTTCTATCACCAAGGCTATGTTTTCCAACTACTAGTCTTTCCTCTTTGTTTCCAACTTTTTTGCATTCCAATCACCAAATAATTTTCGATGAAGCTTAATTGCAGGCTTGATAAATTTCAAGCTGAAGATGGGGGTTTGAATTCCTCAATTTCTTCATCACTACTTCTCGTAGTTGGTGAGTAAATTTGAATAATTGCTGTATTGATTGGATTTCCTTGACGGCAGATATAATCCTATCATAGACAGCATTGCACTTTAGAAATCTTGAAATGTCCATTTTGAAGATGAATGCTATGCCATTACTCTTGAATCTGCCATTCGCAGCAGAGTAAACCATATAATTCTGATTCAAAATGCTCAATACTAGTCCACTTCAGTTCACCATTTTATTTTTGACAACTTCCAACTTTCTTGAATTCATACTTCATCCATTCCAAGTTCCAAGTAATAATTGACATTTGCAGCTATTTCTTCTCATTTCGAGTCATGCTCAATGAAGATCCTGAAGGCCTTACTCATCCATGTCATTATGGTCAACTCTAAGACGGCTCTTCCTCAGTCATATTTTGAGTACCTTTTGATCCAAGAAGCTTATCTTTTGGCACTATCTCTGACAATGTTCTCCATTTTTTATGAGGTTTCCAGTATCTGACAATGTTTCAAGTTGTCCATAAGGTTTCCCAGTGGCTAACTCCTCAGAAGTAGACAGCCCACTCCTTCTTGTCTGTTCTGAGCCAGGAAGCTCAGCTGAAACCTGTTCACTGCAGACAACCTCCTGACATTTGAAATAACAGTCACCTAACTTCCAGTGTTAGGGCAACACCCAAGCCACTGCAGCATGACAAACTGGCAGACAGGTGGTGGAATACATAGTTTGGGAGGAGGAGGCACAATTCCAGCCGTAACAAGGAGTCAAGCCGATGGTCTGTAGGATGTCTTATGCTCTACCTTGGAAGTCGCTGTGGCCACAAATCTCTCTCCATAGTTGCCTGATTCTAATAATGTCTTTCAAGGAACATCAGACCCTGTCCTCTGTCCTGAGCGTACCACCACCACCTGCTTTTGTGTGTGTGTGTGTGTGTATGTGTGAGTGACTAGTTGTTTTTTTGAGTGTTTTACTCTGCCAGGCACTGTACTACTAATCTCATAGTTGGTAGTTTGAGTCCACTCAAAGACAAGAAGAAAGATCTGGTAACGTGCTTCCATAAAGATCACAGCCAAGAAGTATTTCTGCCCTGCAACATATGGGGTCTCTAGCTGTTAGAATCAATTTATGACAAAAGTTTGGTTTTCTATGTTCTGGCTGCTGGGGAAAAGCCCTGGTGGCAGACTGGTTGCGTGTGGGGCTGCTAACCTCAAAGTCAGTAGTTCAAAACCACCAGTAACTCCACAGGAGAGAGATGAGGCAGATTTTCTACTCTTGTAAAGAGTTACAGACGCAGAAATTCACAGGGGCACTTCTACCCTGTCCCAGTGGACTTGATGTGAGTCGGAATTGATTTGATGGTGATGAGTTTGGAGTTTCTGAGCTGCTGGGAAAACACGGGGAAGGAGAGAATGCGGGCTGTTACCAGAGAGAAATATTGGTCAAACACTAGCCCTGCAGTATGAAAAGCAAGGCAGCTTCCCCTTCTGTTCAGACTCCTCCTCCCTGGACCTCTGCCTGACTCCTCAGGCCTCCTCTGGTGCTTCCTTTGCCTTTTTCTGCACCACGTCCTCCTAAGCATGTGCTTTCCAAAGGCAGTTTCTTGTCCTCTGCCCTGTGCCTCCCACTGACCTTGGGAGAGAAATGACCCACACTCCTGTCTCCACTTCCTCAGCTCCAGCCCAGCCTCTGTGGCTTCCGTTAAAACTCAGATTAGGTGCTAGCCTGACAACCCTCACTTAATCCCGATCCTGACCTTCTGCCTGACCCCACATCCTGCTAATCCCACCCATCCCGGAAGAGTCGTCCCCCTCATCCATAGGGACACCTAAGGGATTCAACAAACTCAGGGACACGCTGGCTTAGGTCTTTGGGAAACATGCCATAAATAACCACTTGCTTGACCTCTCTAGTGAAGAAACCTTGGGTAAATCCTCGTGAGACGGAAGGGGAGCAACACGCATGGGTGCCCCTGGATTAACTCTGCAGAGGTGGGCGTGTGGGGAAAAGGTCTTTTAAAGGAAAGAACGGAAGAAAAAAAAAGGAAAGAACGATTCGATTGAGCGGGGGTCGGGGAGGGACGACACGACACGACACGACGGGGGCGCGGGAAATAAGACTTCGCTTCCGAGCATCTCCGCGTCCGCTCTGCAGGGCACCGCCCGACGCGGACCCCGCTTCCTCTGGGTACAGGCGGCCCAGCTTCATCCCTACGACTTTAAGTGCGCGCCGTCGGCGCCTTGGCCTTCACCCACCCATCCCGAGCCGTGTCCTGCGGCGACTTCCTGGCTGGGGGACGACCCAGGAGCGCGGGCCCCAAGTGGACAACGAAAGGCAGTAGAGCGGCTAGAAGCAGCCCGGTAGGGGGCGCGCAAGCGCCCGGAGCTGGGAGCGGGGCCTGCGCGCGCCAGTCCCGCCCACGCGCACCAAGTCCCGCCCACACGAAGGCGCCACGACCCAATGGGGCGGCTGCGCCATGCCCTAGGAGGCGGGGAGAGCGTCGTCGCGTTCGGGTGACGTGCGTACGAGTGTCGGGCCGTGTCGGCGGCGTCGGCGGCTGCCGTGTCTGCGGCGGGTGGGAAATGGCGGAGTACTTGGCCTCCATTTTCGGCACTGAGAAAGACAAGTGAGTAAGAGCGCCGGGGGCCGAGGGGCTGGCGAGGCGCGGGCAGGGGAGCCCGCCTGCACGTGGGGGCAGCGCCCGAGCAGGCTGGGGAGGCCACGGGGGTGGCGGCCGGAGCCCGGGCGGCGCGGCCGGTGGGGGAGGGGAGCGGGCGGCGGGAAGGCGCGGCGGCCTTTTCCGGCCCAGCGCGCACTTTTCAGGCAGCCGCCGCCTGGTTGGGCCGCTCGGGCGGGCGAATGGAACGCGCCCGAGTGGGAGGCGAGGCCCTGGTGCCAGCGTCCCGCGTGGCCCCTTTCCGCGCTTAAGGCGGCGTGGCCGGGACTGGGTGCTCGCGGTGCAGCTGGGTCGGGTGGGGCGGCGCGGAGGCTGCGCCCGGGTCGCGGCGCTCTTTCGACCCCAGCTCGGCCTCCCCCGTCCTCTGGTTGCCCGATGGCTTCGCAGTCTTTCTGCGACCCGGGCCTCTGTACCCGCAAGCCTTCCGAAGCCGCTTCGAGTTGTGCTGAACTTACCCTTGAAGGAGCTGAGCCTCTTAAATGTTCCCCCCAACTTTCCGTTTGCAATGTCACAATGGACAAACTTCGACGAGATTCAGTCGCAAAATTATTTAGGACCCAAGACATCGGGGTTTTTATCCAAATTGTGTCCTTTTAAGGAGATGATCGAGCCTTATGGATATTTGCCTTTTTTCTTTTTCGTGTGTGAGTCATTGGAAGTATCTCGGGTTAGCTATCTAACCTAGAAGGACAATGTGCTCTTAGAACGCTTGGAGATACAGTTCCAATATAAGTAAGAAGGTGGGTTGGGGGGAGGGGTGTGCACGCATCTTTCAATCACTTACGGTGGCTAAAAGTAACATATTTCATCTCTCCTTTGTTTGATTTTTGATTGCCACGTTGGCACTTATGAATTTCCACTCTGGATGAAATTTAGACTAAAGGGAATATCGTCAGGTAATTTAAAAATGTTTCTGTTGTTTTATTTTACTTTGAAAGCCTAAGCACTAAGCAATCTGGCTTAGTTAAGTCTTGGGGGGTAATTCAGAGTTCCAGAGGCCTTAGGTCCATATACTTAATCATTGACAATGTTCTTAATGGTGCTTTAAAAAAAGATATTGCTTAAACGATTTCTGTCTCCAGGATGGACTGTCTTGTGAAATGTCGATCTTTACACATGATAGGATCGCCTCTGTGGTGTTGGGAAGAAGGGATTATACACAGTTTCTAGCAAACTCCTAGCCAAAGTCGACACTCCAGAAACACGTGTGTCCTATAGGCAACTTCAGAGCACTCAAAAAGGAGTGAGATACGGTTGTCGCCTTAGGGAACTCATGGAGGGGTGCAAGGAAGTGAGTGTGAAGGAAAGTGAACGTGCATTACATGTTTAAATATCCTGAAAATAAGCCCTGGGGCCTTTGGAGCCACGGAGGTAGCTTGGGAGCTTTGCCTCTGACCTGAGCCTGGGTGAATTGAGAAGCCAGTTTTGCTGGAACAAGAGGTTCTCTCTCCGTCAGGGTGGGGCGCCCTGGCTTCATCCTTTAGTTTATATTTGTGCTTTGCTTCTTACTTTTTTAAGAGCCCTGCAAGTGGCTTCATATATGTTTTTATAAGTTTGTCCCGATAACTTTTTATTCAAGACTTAAACTGTGTAACTGAAATGTGAGGGGTTGGGGAAATGTGGCAACAGTAAAAGGTTTCAGAACCTGCAGGTCCAGAAATTCAGATTTGAGCTCGGAATGAGTCTGAGTTGCGCAGACTAGCAAATTTGCCCATGTTGCAAAATGGCCATTGTTGCGGTGGCAAATGTTTAAGGAGCCCTGCTATGGATAATCACATTCCTCATATTATAAAGGCTGTATTTCGAATGCAGACAAATGCTGGTCTTTATTCTGGGGTGGTTTTTTTTAATATTAGATTTTACATTTTTATTGGCACCTAATCCACATATCATACAAGTCAGTAGTTCAATCATTGAGTCAGATCAAGAAGATTTCTACCATTTTAGAACATCCCCTATACCCCCGTGGTTAAATTGCCTTTAAAATGAGTTGTGTACTCACAATCAGTTCTAGTGCTCCCCCTCCCCCCAGGATGTTTTTTCATAATAAATTACAAGTAAAATAGATACGGTATTTTAATGTTCAGATTAGATGCAAAGCTAAATATTCAGAAAAGTTGATTCTACTCTCATTTCAAGGAGACACTGGAGTTTTAGCTTCCATGAAACAGAATAAACTAGAAAGGAAGATAAAGTGCCTGTTAAATTTTTTCGATTTAAGGTGCAAGTGAAATGTAGGTTTCTGCCAAAATGAGGAAGTGATTCCCTAAAGGTATAATATCACGCTAATCAAGTTAGGTGACCTAAAGTCAGACCTATAAGATACAGGTACAAATAAGTGTAGTGATCATTTTCTTTCCTGATAAATTGAGGCTTTCTCATTTTTGTGACTACTGAAGAATAAAGAAGCACTGGTGACCTAACAGTTACATGTTGTGCTGCTAACGGCAAGGAAGAAAAAATGAGGCTTCTCTGCTCTTGTGAAGGGTCTCAGAAACTGACAAGGGCAGTTCTACACTGTCCTACAAGGCTGCTGTGCAGAATCGCCATATCTGGCAGTTAAGAGGAGCGCCCTAGTGGTGGTGGGCCGCTCACTCACATAAGCAGTTCAGAAACGCCAGCCTCTCTAACTGCACCTGTAAACAGACAGTTACAGTCTTGGAAGCCCACGAGGTTTCTACCCTGCCCTTTAGGGTCGCTATGAGTTGGCATCAACTTGACGGCAGTGAGGTGGGATTTTTGGTTTTGGTGGCACTGAGTTCCTAAATCTCTAGGTCAGTGGTTCAAACCAACCAGATAGATGCTCCTGGGAAAAAGTATGCTTCCATAAAGTTAATAGTCTCAGAAACTGGAGCAGGGGTCCTCAAACTTTTTAAACAGGGGGCCAGCTCGCTGTCCCTCAGACCGGTTGGAGGGCTGGACTATAGTTTTAATAAAAACTATGAAATTCCTATGCACACTGCACATATCTTATTTTGAAGTTAAAAAAAACGGCAAAAATACCCGGCTGACTAGATAAATGTCCTCGGCAGGCCGCATGTGGCCTTTCTAATGCCGTGACCCTTTAATACAGTTTATGTTGTGGTCACCCCCAACCACAAAATTATATTTTCGTTGCTACTTCGTAACTGTAATTTTGCTACTGTGATGAATCGGGCGGCCCCTGTGAAGGTTGCAACCCACAGGTTGAGAGCCATTGCTCTAAAGTCACTGAATTGGAATCATTTCGGTGGCATGACATTTTTTTTTTACTTAAATTCACGATTGCTTAACTATGGCGTTTGCTTCAGGACAGACTGCAGGGTAGCCTTCCCAGTTCCCAAGTTTAATTTTGAATAGGGGCCCTCTTAAAAGGTTTCCTGTGTGCCACAGACCTGCTAACTCAGCTGGGATTGGTCACTTGATGGGTAGTTTTAATTTGAACTGACCAATCAGGGGGAAGAAGGTGTCCTTAAGGAGCTGTGGTGGCACAGGTGGCCAAGTGCTCTGCTGGTAATCAGAAGGTGGGCAGTTTGCGCCCCCCAGCTGCTCTTCAGGAGAAAGCGGTGGCCACCTGTTTCCTGCATGAAGACCCCAGCAGCCCTGTGCGGCAGTGCAGAGTCGCCTGCAGGCCGTGGGTTTGGGTTTGTCTCAGGCAGTGAGGTTCCTCGGAGATCAGGAGTTACTTATTTCAGATCTACTTTTGGAAATTTCATACTGATCTGATACAGGTGAGAGGGGCTGAGCTTTACTAGGTTGTCTTTAGATGACGATGGCATTTAATGGGGCCTGTGTATGAAGCACACCTCCATTATCTCTCGCTCTTGAAACAGTGCCACCTGGGCAGTTCTCTCCTCGGGTGGTATCCGAGCCCCGGGACTGGGGGCTGGGCCCACGCACACCCAGGCGCTGAGTGGACAGTTAGGCTCTTGGAACCTCACTCCATGTGCTGGTATCCTCCAAGAGAGCACTACATCTGGGGCTAAATTTAGTTTTAGACTAACTTTATATTCCATTTAAAGGAAATAGAACAGAGCGAGAAAGTTTAAGTGGAGGGGGTTTAAATGAGGAAGCTTATGAGTATTGGAAGAGTGCATTGTTATTGAAGGGGAAATTGGCATTAAATTGTGTGCTCAAGTTTTTGTGAGGTAAAAGTATATATTATGTTGACATTTCCAGCTGCTTTTGTATTTGCTCAGCAAAATAATCCACTCTTACTTTCCTTTGCAGAGTCAACTGTTCGTTTTACTTCAAAATTGGAGCGTGTCGCCATGGAGACCGATGCTCTCGGCTGCACAATAAACCGACCTTTAGCCAGGTTTGTCTGTTTTCCCTTTTTTCCTCTCTGTTTCCATGTCAAGTGTCAGAGCTGTGTGCCCTTTTCTGGGCAGTTAGCAGTTTCCCTGGTGGTGGTTTTCCATTTGAGGACATCGGGGAGCACACGAGCCCCCTTCACCCACACCCACACTCCCTCTGCAAGGTTCGAGGGCATCGTTCCCTCACTAATGGGACAGAAGCTGTCAACAGGAGTTCTGCTTTAGCTGGCACCGTTTTAAATATGTGTGCATTGACAGACACATTGGCTGCTTCGGCCTTTCCCTTTGCCCCTGCTTAGTGGCTGGGCTCTAGAGGAGGGCCCTGCCAGTCTGGGTTTCCTCGGGCTCTTTCCCAGGAGCTAGTGGGTGCCAACAGGCTTTTTGCTCTCAGCGGGGTACTACTGTGTCCTTGGGTCTTGCTAGCATCCTGGGTGTGATGTGTTCATCTCTTAATTAGACTCCCCTCCCCAGTTGAGGAAACCATCAAGTTACATTCCCTGCCACAAAGACCTTAAAAATGAAGCTCACCATTAGAAGATGGGTCATTACCCAAAACTGCTCATGACATGTCTCTTCAGACCCCTAAAAGATGACTGTTGTCTTGGACTTACGTCTGCTGTGAGTTCAGTCAAACTTTGTAAGCTTGAGTGGTTTTACTTTTGATTGATCAAAGCAAAGGCAGGAATTTCCATTGCCTTGTGATCGTGTATTAAACAGAAAGTGCCTTAATAGCAGGAGGTTCCGAAGGTTCACAAAACATTGGGATTTTGGAAAGCTGTACTTGAGCACCCAAAGTGAGGGCAGTTGAGCACCTAGTTCTAGCCCACCCTAAAGTCTGCACCACCTCTAAACAGGTGTCTGCTGTCTGAAGCCCACGAAAGCTACCAAATTCTACCTCTGAGCACACTTCTTCCGGCTTCCCTATTTTATTCTTCTTCCAGAATAGATGTTTCTTGTCAGTATTTAGACAAACCAGGTGGCGAGTGTAAGTGAGCTGGAAGAAGGACATTAGTAAGGTCAAGGAGAACCTCCCAAGACCATGTTGTTTTTTCACAGGAGTAGGGTGATGATCCCCTGATTTGTGATAAGAAGTTATTATAGCAAGATTTTTTTTTTCAATAGCTCTGAATGTATCTTTCTGTGTATGTAATTTCAGAATATTAGAGCGCTTACTTTAAATTTTCTGCTGATGGCACTTGTAAAAGTATCAAATAGTACTTGATTTGTGGAACCAGTTGCCCCAACTACAGCAGTGTCCACACATTAGGGCATAATCAAGCACCTCACCTGTTTCCACTTTGCGTGTTGGCAAGAGAAACTGACCCATGTTGTAAACATTTTCTTTAAGGTAGCCATGAGCACTGTGTTTCTGTAAACGTGCAATTAAATGACGTGCTCCAGTCACAACGAGGGCTCATTCATTCATTGATCACATATTAATTAACCTCAGCTTCTTATTTGATGTGCTCGTGAGGTTTGCTTGGTTTTAGGTAATCATAACACCCCCCCACCCCCACCCCCAACTGTACTGGAATTTTACGGGAAGTTCCTATCATTGAATGTCCACTGCCTAGTTACTTGAATTAGACCTGAATATATTCATTCTACCTTTGAATAAATAATCTGGCTCTTGGAGCTTTTCATTCACATGTCACCCTCAGGTGACTGGAGTTAAACATTGCCTAAGTGAATGAGGTCGGCAGTATTTGAGGCTTGGGGGAGTGGTGGGCCTGATGGGTGCTAAGCCCCAAGTTAAGGGTGAGATTAGTTCCATGTGGGCCAAGGTGTGCTGCTTACCCCCTTGCCTCCCAGGGAAGTTTCCTGTCAACTGACCTTTGCCTGGGGAGCTCTCCACACAGCCGCCAGGACTTGAACTGACGGGCTTGTAAAATGAACCACTTAGGAAAAGGGTTTTGCTCAAATGTGGGGGAACAAACATTTCTTTTTCTAAATCATGCAGTAGTTTATAAATACCTACTCATGTCGTTTGTAAATATCTAGCATAATTCCATGGGGATTTCTTTTTAAGCATCATACAATGATTTGGACATTGAGATTTATGTAATATATTAGTTTACTAACTTAAACATGGTTTGTTTTTTCAGACAACTTGATTTTAAGAAGAACGGTACAATATAAGGTTTCAAGTCTGCCTGATCCCGTTTAAAGCACAAGGGCTAAAAGGATTTTTTTTCTTAAAAGAAGGATCGGAAAAGAGCAAATATCTTAAGCTATTGTATTATGTAAACAGAGATTCCCACCAAGAAAGTGTAAATAAGAGACTCAAGTATCCAGTCGGCGGTTCAGAGACCTGCTCGGTGTGCTTAGTTTGTAAGAACCATGGACCGTGACTGCATCCCATAGTGCATTTGGTTTAAGAAGAGACCCTTTTATGTGGAGAATATGATTATCGTGTGCATTTTTAGACATTAGTGTCTTAGTTTGAAGTACAAGAAAATGTTAGTGTTCTTGCATTGAAACACTTTTACTATTAACCATGTGGGACTATTTAAAATAACAATTCTAACTTCTTCTTGGTTGCTGGCTGACTTGACCTAAGCCACTGCTCATGCTCTGTTTTCATAATATGATGGTTTTGGTGAACTCTTCAGAAGACACGTGGCTGACTTGCGGGGGAAAAAAGCAACAACACAGACGTTTAGCCATTTGCAAACAAGTTGTCTCTTTGCAATTGTCTAATATATGCACAGCAGCCGGTAGAATTCCCCTTTTTATTTTTTTTCCCCGCAGACCATCTTGATTCAAAACATCTATCGTAATCCCCAAAACAGTGCACAGACGGCTGACGGCTCACACTGTAAGTCCCACAGTCGGAGGGTTTTTAAGAGAATGCTGTTACAGAGCCCACCCTTAATTGAGACAAACCACGTTGGCTGCTGGGCTGCTGACATAGAGCTGTTGCAAACAGGACACGGTGGTGGAGCTCCTGGGTGCTCACAGCAAGAACTTGGTACTTGGCCGCATTCACAGGCTGCTCTGGGCAGGCTCGCTGGCCAGGCCTCTTCCTCTGATTGGCCTTTGTAAGACCGGAAGGTGGCCCGCCCAGGCGATGCTCTTTCACATCCTTAGCCAGTCACTGGTCTTCACAGTGACTGAACCCCCGGCATTTATTAAGTTCTTTCTGTACAGTTTTTTAAATCTTAGGAATATTTAGGAATCAAAAAGGTAAGTTGCCCGATAAGTCTGGCATTTCTTTCACCGTTACCATTTTTTCTTTAGGAAGTGGAGATGTCATGATATGTAATTACGGTATTTTGCTCAGTGTTTGCTCACTTAAACACAAGCAGTCCTCTTGGGTCCTTCTGTTCACCAGAAGTTCTCGGTCCCATCTGAGAGTTGCGCCGTAGTGGTCTGGCAAATGGCTGGCATCCATCCTTGGATTCGCGTGATAAGATGGAATGCTTGATGTGAAACCAAAATACAGTATTCGCATATCATGAGATCTCTGTTACAGTGCAGTGTTAGGATGCTTCAGGTCACCATCAGCGAAGAGAAAACACCTGCTTCCAAAGAAAATAACTTGCTCTTTTTCAGCATTGAGGCTCCACGGAAGTTGTCGCCAGAGGAAACCGGTGAAGTGTTTACATTTAATTTTCCATAATATAAAGTTGTTGCGTTTTGTATTTCAGACCATTGCCCTCTTGAACATTTACCGTAACCCTCAAAACTCTTCCCAGTCTGCTGACGGTTTGCGCTGTAAGTTCATACAAGTTCCTTCCCTGGTTCCCTGGGCTTGCGTGTCAGAGCTCAGTGTCAACTCAATCTGGTCTGCGTTGTAGTGTGAAGGACCACGTTTTGTTAAAGTGGCAAGAATTTTTTGTCCTTTTTTTCTCCCCTCCCACCCCCTGTGAAAACCTCTGGCCTTTGGACTTCTGCCCACTTTCCAAAGGAAAGCTGACTGGGAAAGGGGCGGGGCCCTTTCGCAGAGCTGGACCCTGGCACTACAGTGCCTTTATTTTGACCATCCTTGTAGAGATACTGCGTATCATTCCCTCTTCAGAACAATATCTGAAAGTTAATCTCCTTTTCAGATATTTGGAGAAATCTGTTGTTTATGAAACACCTTTTCAGATTTAGCACATTTTTCCCCTTCTCAGATACTGCTTTGGAAGTCATGTTGTGTGAGTCTTGCTTTATGAGCATTTCCTGAAAGAGGGTCCCTCCCTTGCCCATGAATTTTTCACGGCATTGGCCCTATATCCTGACAAAGCACACCATTTTATTAGTTTGTGTAGGATTTGATTTACTGCATTTGGAAAATACAGGGTACTTGATGAGGAAATAGATCTTAAATTGGCTTTGCCAATTTCTTCCTATGTCGGGATAGAGTAATTTAGGTGTGGATATTAACTTGAGTGGTAGTTTTAAGAGAATGGGGTGGATTGCTAGCAGGGGGGAGAGCTCAGAAAACTAAAGTTTAATTTTTATAGCTATTCCCCTGTATGTTCAATGGGATTGAGTCATCTGGATACATTGACGTGAGCAGGTTGGATCTTAAAGCGATGGGTCCCAACCAATGGTCGCTGTGTTTCATTTCACCCGTTGATTTTTAAAGAAGTCGAAATTAAGATAAGTTGCTGTTAGAAGGTACCCAAATTGAATACACCTCGAATCTGATCCTCTTCGTTTCTAGGGTGACCTCTGTGAGGTGAGGTGGTCCCCTTGGCCACTGGCCCCCAGACTGGGTGCTTGCACGGTTCCATGTGGGGCAAGGTTTTTCTCTCACTTTTCCTGCTGAGACGGAGTTTTCACCATTAGTACTGACCTTGAGAGTTAAGTAGAGCCATCAAGTCGCTGTTGATCCTCGGTGTACTGTGTGACAGAGCAGAACTGTCCCAACTGGTTTTCTAGGCTGAACTGTACTGGGGCAAGGCAAACTGTCAGGTTTTCTCCCATCCCACTAACCTTGCCAGCTAGCCGCTAAGCACTAGCCAAGCTTCGCACCACCAGGGCTTCTGGCCTGATGGTAGAGAAGTCCTTTCTTTTCCCAGAGTTGGATGGCAGCAGGATTTACTTGGTAACAGCTTGGTTTAAAATACCTGGTTTGGGGGTTGTTGTTTTTTTTCTGTTTTTTTAAAAAATGAAATCACTAATTGGAGAGAAATGTTGGCATCTGTAATAACCATGCCCTGAGGCAAAAATAACTGAAAAGTAGACAATTGAGTGTAGTGAATAATTTTTGCCTTAATAGTTTTACTTAGGGACTTAGCGTAAGTGTATTATCAACAGTAGGTTCCTGTGTTAGTTTTCTCTGTCTTTAGTTGCGATCTGCAGTACTCTTACTTTGCCTGTGCTAAAAAGTGAAAATTCACTACTAAATATTCAAGTTCTGGGGTCCAGCTTATACAAAATAAATGAAAATCAGATACTCTGATTTAGTTTAGGAAGAAGATACCTTACACTGATGAACCCACAGTATTTAGCACCAGCCCTTGGGATAAAGTTTCAACCTGCTAGGTTTCATTTCCTAAAATTACTATCTGTTAACATCATGTGTAAAGAAATAAGCTGTATATACTTGAGTTAAATCTAAATATGAATCCCAATTAAATACTGATGTTTCTCTTTAGTAAATTTGGTACCTTTCAGTTATTTAAATTACAATGTTTGACTTGATTAGTTAACATATGTGTCTGCCTTTCAAATTGTTTTGATTGATTCCAAAATTTGAAAACAGAATATTGAAGAAAAAATTAGGTTAATGATAGCTTTCAGATTTGGGCATAGTGTGTGCCCATTGGCTGTTTATCAGGAACAGTAATTGTTTAGTGCATGTAGTCAGGTTCAGGTTTTAAAGGAGTCTGGAGGCCCCTGCTGGGCCTTAGATCATTCTCAACCAAAATATTGAAGCTGGTGCTCTTTACAGTTTTGGGGGGTTTGTTTGTTTGTTTAAGAAATGGGAAGTTACTCTGAAGCTGCACAGGCTCACCGAGGACAGAAGCGCAGGGCTCTGTGCTTTGCACATGGGATTGCAGGATGCCCCCAGACCCAGCCCTTGGTCCCAGCATGGGAGCCAGCCTGGTCTTTTGCAGGATCCCAGTCCAGTTACTTGGACTGACAGGCCACACTCTGAGGCCTGTGATTTGCATTAAGAAAACTAATAGAAGTCAGACAGTAAAATTGGTAGAATGAGAAATGGGGAGAGATGTAAATTTCCAAATTCCACCCCCAAGTCTTGGTTCTGTATGGGTGTATGAGGGACTCTTGATGAAAATAATCGTGGCCTATCAAATAAGGAACTTACCCAACAAAACATTGTCACTTCCTTTTACTCAGAGGCATCCAAAGTCCTGTCATGGTACCAGGGGCTTAGCCCTCCTGAGTCTCTGGTTGCGTGGGTTTTAATCGCATCAGGGAAAAGTTGACAGCGTTCTGTGTGGCTGCTCATCTGTGAAAGGAGCTAGTTAGGAGCAGAGGCACCTGTTTGAGCCTTCACTCCGTCAGATAACGGCGGGAACAAGTCAGGGGTCACTTGGCCTCTGGCCCGCATCTTTAAAAGAAAGGCCGTTTTCCTGGCACTTTTTCTCAATTTGAAAGTCAGCTCTTTTGCTCAGGCTTTTGGAAAATGTGGCCCTTCAACGCGGATTAAAACTTGCTGTGATTTGCATATTTAAATAGACAGGACTGAGATTGTCAATGTGGGGCATTTTAAAAGCTCGTCGCCCTCTTACCTAGTAATGATTAGGTGTGTGCTGCAGTGTCATCAGTGCTCCAGTAGAGTGAAACTGTGCTGTCTTTTCTCTTTAGCTACTCTAATGTGTGTGACTAGCAGTTTGAATTTTAGCACACGAGTTCTTGCTCCTCCCTCCTTCCCTCCCCTGCTCTAACCAGCAAGGTTTCTGTCGTTTCCAGGTGCCGTGAGCGATGTGGAGATGCAGGAACACTATGATGAATTTTTTGAGGTGAGATGTCAACTATTTGAAACCATAGACCTAGTTCTCTTCCGTTTGAGAAGAATGAAATATACCCTCCCCCTCCCCCCAATTCAATTACATGTTTGTCTTTGATGAATAATAAGCCTTAAGCCACTGTTCCTCCCCCTGCAGGAGGTTTTCACGGAAATGGAGGAGAAGTATGGTGAAGTGGAAGAGATGAATGTCTGTGATAATCTCGGAGACCATCTAGTTGGAAATGTATACGTCAAGGTAAGAAGCGCTGACGCCGGGCGAAGGGGTCAGCCCTGTTTGCTAGATGGCACTTGTGAGTTGTGATGGGCTGTGACTGCCCCTCACTGGTTCTGGGAGCATGTCCCAGATTGTGACTGTGGTGGCCAGGGTTTGTACAACTCTTGGGAGTGTCTGTGTTTTCTATTTTTGACTCACTTTCGCTATACAGTCATGTTTGGCACGATCTTCATCTGTTGGAGACTGAGTAATGCGATCGTGAAACAGCAGCTTCCCTGCCCCTCTGTCTGCCCCTGTAAACATGATGTGTGTTTGGGTGAGTCCTGGAACATGTCAGTAATGTAAATGGGCGGCATGTGTTTTGTACCATCTTTAGTTTCGCCGTGAAGAAGACGCAGAGAAGGCTGTGATTGACCTAAATAACCGCTGGTTTAACGGGCAGCCGATTCACGCCGAGCTCTCCCCTGTGACTGACTTCAGAGAAGCGTGCTGTCGCCAGTATGAAATGGGGTGAGTCGGGCTTGCGGACTGTGCTCTCCAGTGCCGTGTCCTGTGCGCATGTGCTCACCACCTGCTTTCTTTCCGTCCATCCCCAGGGAGTGCACACGAGGCGGCTTCTGCAACTTCATGCACTTGAAGCCCATTTCTAGAGAACTTCGGCGGGAATTGTATGGGCGCCGCCGCAAGAAGTAAGTATCTATCGACACATGCAGTGTGAAGTTGTTTGGAAAGTGGCTGGGTGTGGAACTTAGACTAGGTATTGCTCTAAAGACTGGTTTGAGCATGAAACCTACTGTTTGACATACAACGTTTTTGAAGAGCACTCAACATATCCAGAGATCTCCATCCTCCCCTCAAGGAGAGCACCGGCCTGGGGACCCAGCAGAAGAACCGTTTGAACAGTTCAGTGGGCAGGGGGGCCCGTGGCACTGGGTGAGGAGCCCACGGAGACAGTTCTCATGTACTGGGGTCTGGGGTGTTTGGTCTCCCAGTTAGGCAGGGGTAATTTTAATATAAAAGGTTCCCATTTAAGGGTTTTGTTTGCTGTTTGGTAGCTGTTTTGTTGGGGATGGAGTGGGGGTGGGGGTGCGTGTCCAGGCAGTCTGTGGGGCCCAGGAATGCAGAGATGGGCCAAGGTATAGGCGAGTGTTGTAAATCCCTTCCTAGGAGTGCACTCTGGTCCTGAGGAGTGCCC